TTTCCTATGAAAGCTATAAATTAGTTTCCTAGTAGGGCTGAGTACACCGGATACTTTTTCTTCCATTCTTGAGATACTTTGCTAAGAAGAATATTTTCCAGCTCCATCCATGTAAACATGAAGGAGGTAAATATTTTAAAGAAAAATTAAATAAAAAAATAAATAAGAGGTTATAAATGTTGGGCTGTAGAGACGTGGGCACAGGAAGTGTGGGCCCAAGAGAATGGATTCTGCCTTAGCTCCCATCAAAACAGGAGGTTCAGGAAGAGAATCTGTCAAAAAAAAAAAAAAAAGTGGGTAAGTGGAGTGAGTGAAAAGGTACATTTGGTTCTCAATTGCAAGTGAGAAAGATGTGAGCACGAATCACATCACAGTGCTTCTTGTTTCTGTAGCTGGAAAACAAATGTTTTTGTCATTGTGAGACGACATCTTTGCTGCTATGTCTCCTTGTGTTCTTCTGATTAGAAATTTATGTTAGAAATAATCATAGAAAAATATATGTAACATGACTTGGAGCAGCTGTGACCTGATTAGTCCACAGCCTGTCACTAGCAGACACGCGATGTGATACAGGGAAACCCAGGCAGGGGAGAGGGGTTTGGGGGAGAGCTCATTGACTGGAAAGAGAGGCTGCAGGAAATAACAGAATTGATTCTGACAGGCTGGATGCAGAACTGGAGAGAAGAGGACTGGCTGCAGCGGTCCCAGAGGAGACGCCCATCATGAGAAAAACATCATGGTTTCCATCCCTTTTTTCCCCCAGAAAGCCAGGCTTTGACATACGCCATATAGGATAGGAGTTGCTTGGAGCGGATGCCCTTGTCTGAGGTTTCTGGGCCTATGAAAGAAGAAGGAGGGCTGCCTGAGGCAGCCGGCCACGGGGGCCAGCAGGAGACAGACCCAAAGCCTCTGACACCTTTGTCACCACGAATCAGGCACCAGTCATCCGGAGGCTGGCTGCGGTGAAGGTTGTGGGGTTTCAATGTTCAAGTGTCATTAGTGCATTTAATGCCTGTTAATTCCTATTAATGACGTGCTCTTTCCAAGAGGGTTTGTATTAGAGTGCCAGGAAATAGATTAGGCAGGACAAGTCTGTTGCATACTTCAAATGCTGTATTCCTAAGAGTGCTGGAAAGGGCTAGGGATTGTAAACATGCCAGAAAGGTATCACATGAAATTAGTTGCTTGCACTACTTGTGAATTATGTCTTACGTGCATTTTGTATGTAATAGCGGCTAATATTAGGCATGTGATTTTTTCTCCCAGGGCTTTATGTGTTGTAACTGCTCTAGAAAATAGGTACTGTGTTTATCTCAGTTTCACAAATGTGGCACCTAAGGTACAGATAACAAGCTACCAAAGGAACATATATCGAAAGGATGGATTTGGATGCAGATGGTGGGCTCTAGAGCCCTTGCCTACACTGCTTTTTTTTTTTTTTTTTTGAGACAGAGGCCCACCATGTCACCCTGGTAGACTGCTGTGGCATCACAGCTCACAGCAACCTCAAACTCTTGGGCTCAAGAGATCCTCTTGCCTCAGCCTCCCAAGTAGCTGGGACCACAGGCACTCACCACAATGCCTGGCTATTTTCTTTTGTTGTTGTTGTCTTTGTTGTTTAGATGGACTGGGCCAGGTTTGAACCTGCCAGCCCTGGTATATGTAGCTGGTGCCATAACCACTGAGCATGGGCGGCAAGCCCTCAACCGTGACGGTAATTATTGCCTGTGTTGCATCGCAGTATCCATACTTTATATTGTCTACTTTATCTCTTTTATTGTTTCTGAAACCACATGTTGTTATACTGGTTTTTGTTTATGAACAATTTTTTTCTGATTTGATCTGAATAATTATACAGGTATATCTCTAAACTTTTACTTCAGTGACTATAAAAACAGCTGGCACTGGCCTCTTCTTACCTCTTTTCCAAACGTTTGGTCTTGAAACGCTGCTGATTTTCCTCTACAAATGATGTGTTTAGTGCTCTATGTAATCTCTGATGGAGAGAACAGATAAATGGGTAGAGATCATTAGAAACACATCAGTCAGGGGCCCAAGTACTACTTGAGATTTAACGATGTAGGATTTAACCATCATAAACTTTGGCTTCTTTAAACGAATTTTCAGGAATGCCCCCCCCCCCAAACAGATCACCATTCAGCCCCAAATCTCAAGAGCACAAGAATTCTAGTTATAGATTATTATTCTTGCTGGAGGAAAAAAAGGGGTCTGATAGAAAGCTGAGAAATGCCCTATATTGTGACACACATCTGAAGTGGCACAATCATAACGAATGTTTAGCAAAAAGCCCCATACAATTGCTAGAGATAAATCAAAACCTGAAGCCTGAACTTCTAGACAGCCAAAAGGGAGAAGGGAAGAAGGCCTCGTGAATTAAACTAATCCTATCAGCATACAGCAGAGAAGACCCATCTGGGAAAAAAGTGTTGGCTTGATGAAGTGAGGAGGTCAGCATGAGAACACCCAAGCCGGGTGGGACAGGCAGCCTCCCTGCCGGGAAGGGAGCACTGGGAGGCAGGGGGGTGTCCAGCAGTGGGGAGGCCTGGGTGGCTCACTGGCTGCAGGTCAGGTGAAAGTACTCTTGGTTAGAGTTTGTCGTCATTAAGGAGCCTTCTTACTATATTTTGCCTGTCCATGCCAATTTCCTTCAAGGAGAGATGTGCAAACAAGCGTGCTTGAATGGTCAGTCCACTCAACAGTGTCAGTTCTCCCGGTAAATCATTGTGTTGGTGTCTGGGCTTCATGAAAGAACTGAGGCCCCGTGAGGCTTGACCTGGGTACCAGTGGGCCTTAAACCTCAGACCAGGAAAAGAACAGAGACAACACAAGCAAGTGAGGTTGCTTAAAAGGCTACTGGGACTTGAAACCCATTGAGTGGCTTTCAATTTTGGCAAGAAAAGAATACAGGAAACAAAACGTTCACACCATTTTTTCCAGATGGTCACTGTTAAGGGAAGCCTGGTTAAAAACAGTTCTTTTGCTTCTGTCGTGAGCAGCAGTGGAGGGTTATAAGAAAGGAGGGGGCGTTGTGGGGTAGTTTAATTTAAGGGGACTCCATCTTCTACATTGACAGTGTCTACAGCACCCTCGTGATCCTGGTAGTACTTACCACCTGTCAGTCTGACACAGGGCCCTGGAGCCTCCCATCCCTGGGAATTCTGCAGCTTAAAGATATTGGAGAAAGATGCCTGCGCCACTCACCTGACTGGTGTGCAGCCAGTACTGCAGCTTGGATTTGTTTTTGATCCGTGGTAGCAGCAGCCTGTACACAATGTGCTCCCCGATGGTTGTTAGGATGGAGAGACCAAAGCCAATGCACAGCAGCACGAAGAGTCCTGAGAAGTGTTTGATGCCCATCTGCAAAGTCTGTGACGGAATAGGAGAGAAAATGCCACGAGCGTGATGATCCATGCTCAATGGCTCAATGCTTGTTCACTTTTTTTGACTTAGATTCCATTTTTCTAGACCTGGGGGAAGTTGGAGCCCACTCCTCCCTGTGTGTTCTGTGAACCTCACAATAATGTGCTGTGAAAGGAATTCTGTCAGTCTGGGACTCAGGGCTGCTGAGGGGCAGGATCCTAGAGTGCTAGTCACATGCTGATCCCACAGTGGGAGCAGTCACTGCAGTTGTGCAGGGGTCCTGGGTCAGGACCACCCTCTAGTCTTTCAGAGAGAGAGAGAGACAGGAAACTGAAATAATTTAATACACTAAAACATTCTATCAAGGAAAGAACCTTCCTCCGGGACAGAGAATGAGTAGATTGAAGGGGAAAAGATGATGAGTTCAGTATGTATGGAATTTGAATCCAGCAGGGAACATGGAGCTCATCTAGTTCAATGTTCTCATTTTACAGATGAGAAAACTGAGACCAGAGGGATGTAGTAAACCCAGCCTGGCCACAAAATTAGGCGGCCATAGAGGAGAAAGAGAAGGGACCTAATATTCATTGCTTGCTTACTTTTTGCCCGATGTTTTGCATTGAGATAGGTATACTAATCCCCCTGTTTTAGTTCTGCATGGCAGAGATGGTCTATAAATCCATCTTTGTTCAGCTTCAAGGGTTGGGCTCTCTCTGTTTTACAACAAAACAGCAGCAGTTACAGCAACACCAACAGTTACAATAAGCATACAGTATGTGGCCCGCAGTTTGCTAAGTGATTCACACATTGTTAGAGTTAATCACACAAAATGGGTCCTTCTTATCAAACCAGCCAAATCAGAGTCCAGGTGCCAGAGGACAAGAGCCCACAGAATCTGCTCCAAGAGGTAAATTTTCCACAGGCCCAGCTGCTTACCCTGCCTTTTATAACCTGAAACCAGTTTTATCTAACGGGCACTGAACAATCTGCTAACACTCTAAGAGGAGTTGTACCTACCACCATCACTTGCCCATCGGAGCTCGCCAGCTCCCCAGAACTTTACCAATGCCAATGACCCTGCTATCAAAAACAATATGTAGCATTTCTTCTTTTTATAAAACCACCACCTTTTCTTTATTCTTCAGACATATCAAAGACCACCTGGTCTGTGTGTGTGCCCTGAATTGAAATTCTTGCTTAACAAAGTGTTTTAGATTGAGAGATTCATCTCTGTATCTTACTTGACTTCAACAATGTGCTAAGACCAGAAAACCTCACATGTACTCTGAAGCAGGTATTATTCAGCCACTGATGTCAATAGCAAGGGGCAAAGCTGCAGGAGGAGAGAGCGCTGTGTTGGGCGTCTACCATGTACCGGCGTGTGCATCTCTTCTGCACATATGGGCTGGAGGGAGAAGGAAGTTCTGTTTCCCTGTAAGCAGCTTCAGTCTTGGGAGAAAGCAAATGTGCGTGCTGCCTGTGTGGATTCACTTGCTTCCTGGGTTTGGTGGAGAAGCTAGCTCAAGTGATAATATGAATGAGGGAGGCAGAATGGGGCGGGGAGGTGGAGCCCTAAGCTGAGGTTAGCATGAGCAAAGGAGGAAAGGCACAAGTTGCCCAGACCGTGGTATGGGGGCTTGTGAGCTGGACTGCTGTGGTTTAGGGAGGGTGCATGAGGCATGCGCAGTGCTGTGGCTGGATGGCTTGTGTCCTTCCAAAGTTTATACGTGGGGCCCTAAACCCCAAGATGATGTGATTAGGAGGTTGGGCCCTCATCCTCAGGAAGGGCTCTAGGAAGCAGCTAGCTCCTTCTGTTTCCCTTTTGCCCTTCCACCACGTGAGGTTACAGCAACAAGGAGCCAACTTGCAAGCAGAGACTGGGTTTGCAGTAAGACGGTAAACCTGCTGCCACTTAGATCTTACACTTTGAGCCTCCAGAACTGAGAAAGAAATTTCTGTTCTTTACAGATTACCCGGTCTCAGGTACTTTGTTACAGCAGCACGAGTGGAAGGAATGTGTGGTAGGAGAAACAGGGCGGCATAAGGCAAGTCCTTGGATGCGACTCCAAGGAGCACAGGTGTTGTCCCTGTGCTGGAGGCTTTTGTTCATCATTATTGTTGATAATTCTTACCACTTAATACATGTAAGGCACAGGTTGGAGCACTTTATCAATGTAGCACCTTGCATAATCTTCACAACGACTTGTGTTGTAAATACTGGTAACGATCTCCATTATAGGGGTGAAAGAACTTAGCCACAAAGAAGTTCAGTAACTTAGTCACAGCTCGGATACAAACTCCTGCAGTCCGTGTGCAGAGTCACACTCTTCCCTGCTTCATTTGTCCAACATAAGTGGATCCTCCCATCCTGTTTCAGGGTTTTCCTTCTTTCATTCTCCCCACCTCTTCCCACCCCAATCCTGGAGAATGGTTCAGACACAGAGTACACAGGAAAGTCTGTCTGGGGGTCAGGACGCAGAGATTTTAGGCTTTGATGGAGCCTGGGTGATAGAATCTCTTTTCCTCCATGACCACAGGCAGGCACTGGCTACGGGTCAAAACCAGTGTTAGGATCTATGGGGAGGAAAGACTAGAGCTGAAGAGGGGCTCAGGGCAGGCACTGGTGTAGGAGATGGAGGACAATGCTTATAGGAGCTGTCACCGCTTCTTGAGGGAGGAGTGGGACAATTTCCTGGCTGGCTTGGAGATGTTTCGTAGCCCAGAGACAAGCCCTCAAGCAACCGCATGCGTTAATGAGAGAAGCTCCTTAGCAAGCAGGAGTTATACCTTGAACATTCCTGGCGTATCAGGGTAGGAGTCAAGCCCATGGGAAAAAGATCGTGGTGATCATTAAGAACATGATCCTTGTAGATGGCCCCCCATCTGTTGTATAACGTTTCAATAAAAGGCCATGGCAGAAGGTATTAGAGGCTTCCCTGCACCTCTGGGAAGTCCACCTCTTGCAAGCATTATAGTTCTAATCCGTGTCCAGGATGATTCCTGTGTTGCAGTGACAGGGTGCCAAAGCAGCACAGACAAGAAAAAACGGGGTGCCTTAGCAGCACTGACACACCGGCTCAAGGAGACAGAGACACAGGCAGGAAAACTGGGCAGATGACCTGGAGACTCTTGGGGAAGCCCAGCTCTAGGGAACAGAGCAGGCTGATCTAGGAAAGGCTTTGGTGAGGAGGTTTACCGGGCCCCAAGGGCTACAGAAGTTCTGAAGCTCTTTCTGGGACATCTCTGCACAAGCAATGACCAGTCATATCCAGAAAGAACATACAAATGGGTTTGAAAATAGTCCTTGGTGCTAAGTGTACGGGAAATAGCTGTTATAGAAGGATTCAGTGAGTTACTGCTGCAGAGTAAGAACTGGGATCATTCACCTTGGACTTCAACATCATGAAACATTCAGTAACACTCCAGGCATAAGGGCATTCTTTTTTTTTTTTTGGAGATAGACTCTCACTCTGTTGCCCCCAGACTAAAGCGCTGTGGCGTCATAGGGCATAAGAACTGCACACCCCTGAGCTCAAGCCATCTTCTTGCCTCAGCCTCCTGAGTAGCTGAGATTAAAAGCGCCCACCACAATAGCCAGCTCATTTTTTTATTTTTAGTAGAGACTGGGTCTCACTCTTAGGCAATACAACCACCTTGGCCTCCCAGAGTGCTGGGATTTACACCACGCCTGGCCAGGGCACTGCTTTTTTTTTTTCCCCCAGTCATATTTATTTATTTTATTTTTTATTAAATCATAACTGTGTACATTTACGGGGTACAGTGTGCTGATTTGATATACGATGTGGAATGCTTGCATCAAACTGATTCACATAACCATCACCTCACTTATTTGTTGTGGTAAGACATTTATACTCTACTCTTCATGGTTTTGAAATGTACCATTGCATTGTGCACATTAGGTGAGGTCCCCACAAATACCTTCCCTCCTCCTGCCCTCTGCCCACCCCTCCACTCTCTCTCCTCTTCCCTCCTTCTTTCTGGACTGTAGTTGTGTTTTATTATTCTCATGAATGTGTAGGTGATGATATATTGGTTTCATAATAGTATTGAGTACATTGGGTCCTTTTTTCCCCCATTCTTGAGATACTTTACTAAAAAGAATGTGTTTCAGTTCCATCCAGGTAAACATAAAAGATGTGAAGTCTCCGTCCTTATAAGGTACTGTCAAGATAAGGAAGAAATGCATAACTTACAGTGGGTCATCTTGCCTTTGAGCACATGGCTTCTCTGTTTCCTGGTGTATCACGATAATTAGTCTCATTTCCTCTGATTATCTCAATAAGAAATAGGCTGTATTTAGTTTATACTAGACATTTCATACCCATACGCTAATAGACTGTTAGAACTAATTATTGTTTTTTTTAAATTGGGCATTTAATGAATGCCAGTCACATATATTCATATTACGATCTTGTAGTTAACCCTGTAAGTTAAGGATTGTTATCCTCATTTCACTCTTGAGAAAACAGAGGTTCAAAGAGACTGATTTCCTTACTCAAGTTCAAACAAACTAGGCTGTGGATCCAGGATGGTCTGTGCCACTGTACTTCTTCTCAAGCAAATATTATTTACAGGTATCCTTTGCTGTCTGAATTCTCACTGTCTATCCACTATAATAACCACCCCCAATTCCATTTAAACCTCACCATTGGAATTGAAAATGCACTATAATCTGCCTGTGAGCACCAATGACGTTGTGTCTGAGTCTGAGTGATAAGATGTATAGCTGCAATTGCAATCTGGCTGTTCTTCCTCTAGGCTCACGTTGCTTAAATGTGCCGTGCATTAGAATCTGCATCTTCCCTACGCTAGCAGGTTGAAACATTTTCTCCAATACAATGGAACTCACTCAACTTGATACTCATCTTTGGTCAGAGGGAGAAGGGGTGGAGGAATGAACAATCTATGTCAAATTTTTTAAATAAAGTTAAGTGATGCAGGTAGGATAATTGCAGTTGTAAGCGATGTGAGTGGATACACACATT